TTTATTAAATCGAAAAATAACTGTAAAAGTTACAAAACTATAAAATATTATTCATTCGACACATAAACTTAATATCTATTCATCAATAAAATAATATACTTTCTGTTGTAATATTTTAATATTTTTAATAACTCAAAAAATAAATGTAAAAGGTATAAAACGAATATATCATATAACACAAATATACATAATAGTTATTCATCAAATAAAATATTACACTTGCTGTTGTAACGTTTAAACAAAAACACGAATTTGCCTGCCTTCTTTACTCCCAGTCGATTCCTCAATTTAGAATGGACTAATCCAAACGAAGAAAAAATTATTTCCACCGACGCCGATGATGCCACAGCTCCCAGAAGTTGCCTAGTAATTTTGATAATCGCATCTCCATTGTTTCCAAATACATCCTTGTGAGATATCCACCATTCGATTGGAAATTTTTATTTTTTATTTTTTTTTTTATGCAGCGCTGTGGAAATGTTTGTTATTGTATAGGTGCGGCGAATTAGGCATTATTGACAGGAAATAAGACGTTAATTACTAGAAAATGCGATTTTAACAAAAAATCTGATTTAAGTCAAAAAAATCTGATTTAAATAAAAAAAATCTGATTTAAATCAAAAAAATCTGATTTAAATAAAAAAAATCGGGTTTTTTTATTTAAAAAAAATCATGATTTTTTTGCACCCTGGTTGTAAATACTACAACTTCAATAATTTTTTTCTCGGAAACTAAGGATTTTACCAAATTTTTTTTTAAGATATTGACTATTGATTTTTCAAGACGCATCTATTCCCAAATTTTTGTTTATAAATTGTGAATCACCCTGTACATTATTACATTATTAATTGTTCAAAAAACTATTACATTTAAGAAAAAAATAGCCGACTATTTTTTAAATATTTTTATTATTATTAGCGCTTGTGTTTTTAGTTTATTTTAGAGGTAAAATTAGTCCAAGGAAATTTTCTTCAATACCAAAAGAAATCTTGAAATGTTGGTCTTTGTCAAAGTTGATGTTGGTAGAACAAAAATAATAAAAGATATTTCTTTCACAGTTTGTATTTCTGAATAATTGCAATATGTCAGATATGTAAAATTAAATTTTTCCTTTCCCCTTTGAGGGGCAATTTTCAACAAGGAATACCACCTTAATTTTTCGCATTTATTTACGCCCTGTATATGAAATAAGTAGTTCCAGAAACATGATACAATATTTACATAACCTAATTTTAACATTTGGAAAACCGCAGGAATGACGAAATGTCTAAAAAACATATCAGAAGAATGCACGGAGCACACAATCATTTCCTATCTTTCTATGAAATATAAATATCTCGTCGCGGGAGCATTTCTAGGAATCCTTAGTTGATATTCAACAGTAATGAGCGTAATGATAGATAATAGTGTAATATATAAAAAGCTTACGCGGTGTAAATTCCTCGTATTAGAGACGTACGATCCTTTGTTTCCGTGGCCGACTACATACAAATGCATTTTTTAAACTTAATCTTTAGTCTGCATAATTTCAACGAGTTTTAAAATCAAACTACTGATTTTTTAGCATGTTTTTGTATATTTAAACGTTTTTTACGTATATGTCACCATTTGTTCTCCGCATTGATATTATTTGTTTGTTTATCTTAACATCCTGTACACCGTTTACAACATTCAGGCGGAGAAAAATCCACGAATACGAATTATCTTTTAAATCCCCAAAGATACTGAATATTCCATGAAGATTTTATATACTTCACGGTATAAAACGCATACGAGTGTCACGTAAGAGCCATAAATTTAACGAAATAAATTACCTCGGAACGCGTTTCACACATCGAGTTTCGTACAATCATACGAGTTCAGATGGAATTACTTCGGAACATTGTAGAGCTGCATGTTGAGCGGAATTCAATCTTTTCTTAATGAACAGTCGTACATTATTAGGTCAATTCGTATTGCATTCCTCTGTGTTACGAATTACCTACCCATTTTCCTAAAGGCGGACTTCTTTGCGTAATGATTATTTTCCCTACTGGATAAAATACCGATTTTTCGGATGGGTATAATGAAGATATCCGAGTGCCTCTTAAAATTGTTACGATCTTCATTTATAAAAAGTTTCTCTTTATAAATTTGATATCGGTACATTCGATATGACCATATATAATGTTTTATTGTCTTAATCGTGCATAAAGTAGAATTTTATTGACGCATATGAGTATGTAAAATGAGCTATTAATATTTATGCCATTAGATAACATTTTAATTTAAATATTTTGTCCGGCGCTTTCACGATTGTTAAATATAACAGGAAAGGTGTATGTGCAATTAATATTTAGTAGTTTCGTATTTTAATTTTAATGGAATTTAACCTACAAAGAACAAACCAAATGACAACAATTTAGTTCAGATAAGAAATAATAAATGATAAAAGAAATCATTAATTTTAGGTGATTTTCAAGAGGCTGTAACTTAGCGTAGAGCAAAAGCAAATTGAAGCTTGATATTTCTAGTTTCAGGACCTTAAATTTTTATGGTTAACCACCTTTTTTCTTAACTGATTTCTCAAAAGAAATCCAGAAAAAAAATCTAAACTTTTGCTTCGCTTTCAAAAGGTCCTAGGCGTCAGTATTTTTTTGGCACTTATCAGCTTTTTTAAATTGTTCATCTGCTTTGATTTGAGATGTTTAGGAGCTTTGAATAATTATTTATCGCTGTTATTGTCGTTCAAAGCAAAAATTATCTTTTTAGTTTAGATAATTAATTTCTCGGGATCTAATTATCGTATACAGGGTGGTCCGTTTTTCATTGGCATCTGGCAAATCGTAAGATTCCAATATGGCGCCCATAAGAAAAAAACAATTGAATGTTGCATAACTGAAACTAGTTGCCGTAGAAATTTTCTTTCGACGGAAATGGATTCCTCGTATTTTCTTATCCCCCAGTACCAGATTTCAGCTCTTTCTGTTGTGAAATAAGGACGCTAGATGGCATTTTCTAAAATCGCTATTTTCAGTTTTTTTACAATATTTCAGGAACGGCAGCAGATATCTTTGATTTATTTGGTTTATTTTAATGGCCCTGTAAAGGCGCAACTTTTTTCTATTTTGAGTCACCCTGTATATCTTACGGTTTCCAAGGTGCCAATGGTGAGGCCAGGACAGGTGTCTTGAAAAACGGACCACCCTGTAGAGAATCAAATCAGGGTTTTTAAAACTTCAAAGGATCTCTTATAAGACGTTCTTTTCGTTTTTTTAATAAATTTTTTTATGAAGAAACGTATTCAAAAAATATTTTCGATAAACTTGAGATAACTTTACAATTCACAGATTACAACAGATTAAGGATATTTTCGGTTTTTTATCCTCAATGTGAAATTATCACTTTTTCTAAAAATCAATTAAACAATACATTTTGCATATTTTATTAATTTTTTAATTTGGAAATGTTTTTTTTTGCAAAAATCCCTTTTTTTCATCAAAAAATGTTTAATATCGAAAAAAAGTGAATAATATATATTTTTTTCAATTTTATTTTAGAATATGTATTCACAATCACTAAAAAAATACAACCGTAGTTTTCACCGTGTTTTCAAATGTCAATTTAAAAATTAATTGCAAGTAGTTGTATTTGTTTAATTAGAAACAAACTTTTCAAAACTAACCTAAAACTCTTTTCTGTATATCCGAAAAAAGAATATATTTTTTTGAGCATTATAAATATTATAAAAACAATTTCGAAAAAAGTGTTTTTTCCATTTTTTCTTTTTTCCGATATTTAACATTTTTTGATGAAGATAATGTGGATTCTAGCAAGAAAAAAAAACATTTTCAATTTAGAAAAATTAAAAAAGATGCTAAATTTTTCCTTTAATTGATTTTTAGCAAAAGTAATAATTTAAATCATTCGGATCACAATGAAAGAAAAATGACAGCGGTTTCAACTCTTGAGGCTTTCTTTTGGATACTTTGTTTAATCAAGTTTCTTGCATGAAATTTTTTTAACAAAAAATGATAAGAACGTATTACAGAAGTTTATGAAGTTTTCAAAACTTTGCTTAGATTTTCTGTACGATCCCTAGTAATCAATTACATATTATCGAATCTATAAAGGTCAATTTTGCTTTGAACGTCATAATTCAGCTACAAATCATCCTACAAAGCTCCTGAACAGATCAAATTAAAGAGGATGAATCAAACTAGAAGAGCTGGCAGGTGGGATTGCCAAAAAAATGTATGGAAGGTTGTGAAGCTTTTGAAAGTGAAGCAAAAATTTAGAAATTTTTTTTCTCTAAATTTCTTATGATTTCTTAAAGGTCAGCTTCAGTTTGCTTTTTTTTATTTATCTATGACCATTTTTCACCAAGTTGCAGCATGTTAAAAATCGCCAAATATTTTTATCCTTTAATTTCTGTGACCAGCGTATATTGTTACGTACCGGTGTATGTATTACAATATTCTAATCCAGTGCATAGTCAGTAGCGTTTTTTCACATGTATTAAGCGTTTATTACAACCAAAATGATTTTTCTTAGTGACACAACACACCGTTTGTGTGCGTTTTGGTCGGTGGGCGGTTAGTATTTCAATTCCTTAATTTATCGAATTAAAATCGCGCACGTCCCTGCTTTTAGGGAAGCTTCCTCTGAATAATGAGCAATAAAATGAAGTAGACAAGGCACAACATGGACACACGGAGGCTCGTAAACCGATTTATTTACAGGGGCTAAATGTGAAAAAGTACTTTTACGATCGACCATTGTTTAATGCTTTAACGTCGACGCGCTTGGTTTGGCCGATGTAAAAAGTCGGAGGATTATATTTGGGAAGGAAAATGGAGTGTTAAAACAGTTTTTAAATAACAGTTTTAGAAAAGCATCCCTGGTGCTTTTGGGGCAAGGGTTGAGTAGATCGAAAAAAAATGTGTCGTTTTTTTTAGTATTTAATGTGATTTTATTGAAATACATGACCACACATTAATTTTTCATGTATCTGTTTTCAGTACGGCTCCGACGAGTTCACCCATGACTCCCCGAGGTACACTTCACCCGGGACGGGGACGGGGTACTATCTGGGAGCAGACGGCACCCCCAATTCGGTGGGCAGCGAATGGCCCTCGTCGTACACCACCTCCTATCAAACCTACGAAGCGTACGGTCTCATTCCAGAAACGGAGCCCAGCCAGGGCCTGCCCCCCATGTCTTCGTTAAGACCAAACGGGACGCCGACAGCGACAACCATGGCGGGCTCGAACAACGGCACCCCCTTCGGACCAGCCAACCACACAGACGGAGTTGTAAATAAAGCTTTAGGAGCAGTAAGTAGTCCAGTTGAAATAACGAATTTTTTGATCAGTAGGATCCCCTCCTGATAATCATTTTTTCACTCTTCAAATTTGGTTTCAGCACATCAAAATCTATAAGAAATGATGGGCCTGGTCTAAAAACCAAAAAAATTTTTTTTTTGTCAGGCTGGTAATTGATCAAGGTATTGGTCAAGAAATTGTCACACTGTCAAAGGGAAATCAAAATCTTTATTGGCTCTATTTATTTAAAGCTGGGACAAGATGTATTTACACTTTGTATATAATATTCTGTTTTAATTCCCATCACAAGAAGTCAAATTAATTTTAGGAAAAATAGACAAATCATCACACACATTAAATGCGTGTGATGATTTGTCTATTTTTCATCACACACATTAAATGTGTGTGATGATTTGTCTATTTTTTCAACAAATTTTGTTGTTGAAAGCAGAATAATCTTTAAAGCCATTTTAATAGTATTTGCTTGCCAGTTGTAGTTATTTGATTCAATATAATTTTTGATATGTTTTCCCTGCTTGACAAATTAAAATGATATAATTTCTAATAAATATCTGTTATTGTGGCACAATGCAATATCTCTTTGACTAGTACTGTTCTCTGTATTAGAAATAAATATCCTTCTACTTACATTTTTGCCAAGACAGTTAACGAATGGTGTAAAAAAAGTCAAATGTTTCCCCTACGAGAGTGATTTTAAATTAATGTAATAGATGCGACATCTATTCTTGCGAATAACTTACGTCAGACTCACACAGTTACAAACACGTATCTGTGACCTTTTCTTAAAATATTTGAAATAAAAATAAGTACCTAAATTGCAGAATGTAACCAGAATTAGTGCCATTAAATGAATATTAAGTCAAAAGTGGCCAATAAATTAGAATCACTTCTGTTGTGTCCAAATTCTTGGGCTAGGAATTTTGCCAAAATTTATGTTACATTTATCAGTTTTAGATCCAATAAATTGAACAAAAAATTGCCCAATTTATAAAACTGGTTCTTATTTGTTGACCAATTTGCAGAATTTTTAGTGATATTAATTCAATAGTACTAATTTTTGCATTTGTTTTTGTTAGTTTGGCATAAGCCTATTTACGTTCGTGTTTTTGCTGTTAATCTGATCGTTTTTTATTCTAAGTCGGTCGTAAATTTAACAATAAATTGGTAAACGTAATGACTTGCTGGTACGAATTGTTCAAAGAAAGCGATGTATGTTATTTCATATACATTGCATTAAAATTATTATTATTCATATTTGTTTACGTACCGGTATGATTATTTTTAGAGATTATTGATTCTTATTAAATAAGCCCTTATTATGAGATGATACATTTCCAGAACAGATAAAGTATGTAAATATAACTGAATTACTGTCAATCGAATACTTGTTTTTCCCCTCTATATCAAATTTATGCCACAGTGCACCGTTAAATTCATGATTACGTGTTTAACGCACATTTTTAGACGGCTTACAAAATTTGATGGAAATAAATATTCATTTAAAAAATTTCTAAAGCGTTAACTACATATTTACTTCTTATTACTGCTGTATTATATTTGTTTCAAAAATAATAAATGTAGCAAATAGTCGCATATAATAATCCTAAAATGATAACCAGATATTAAGTTGTCGACTAATGATGACACAACTACTCCATGGTTACAAGCCCCATACAGCATTCAATTGCACCCGCAGTATCCAGCAAATAACTAAGATTAGTTGTCAGTAGAATCGAGATAGTCCGGTATTGAACTTACTAATTTTCATTAATATGCCACTGACAAACGATTTAGCTGTTTGAATATCGTAACTACTATTTGAATGTCATTAGTACTTAAAGCCTACTGGCACAAACCATTACTTTGTACCTACTGGGGTAGGTCGATCTGTGATATATAACCTACAAAGTATCTGTCATTGTCTTAAATGTCATTGATACTGAACGCCTACTGGTACAAAGCATTACATTGTACCTACTGGCAAAGAATGATCTACCAATCTGTAGGTGCTATGTAAGCATTACTTGTTCTGCACTAGACCAGTAGTTACAAAGGAATGCTTTGTACCAGTAGGCATTGAAGGGCACTGACAGTTAAGATACGACATTTACTTTGTAGGTTAGGCCTAATCTACACAAGAAAATGTTTTTGTCTCCAAAAAATACTGAATGTTCACTAAATTCTGGGCGATATTTGGTTTTAAATCACTAAATCAAATATAAAGATATTACCGAAATAATAAGAACCATTGTTAGTTTATTGATACGAATTTTGTTTTTCAATCTGTCATCATTACACGAACACTATGCTAGGGGTTCAGAATTTAATTTGAAAAAAAAAACAACTAATTTGAACCTTCACTTAGACATGGCTTGTCCTCGTGCATTGCAGATATATCCTACCGCCGAACAGGCTAGTGCAAGCAGTTATAGTTCAGCGCCATCGACTCCCGTCAGTTCGCCACCTCCCATAACGCCTGCGGGATGGCTGACGAACCACACGACGCCTCATTCACCTCACTACACACAAGCCGTAACTGTAAATAACACCGTTGCTCCTCAGGGATTACATATGGTGAGTCACCCGTAATATCCCCTCGGATACAGGATGTTCGTTTTAACCAGCCAGCGACACGCTGATGTCATTTCTTTTAAACGTCCACAGTATATTTGTTAAACAGTTGAAGTGAGTTAAAAACGAACATCGTGTTTCTTTGAAGCTGAACTCAAGTGTCGATTTGTGTTTTCGTATTATTCAATTCGAAATCTGGATTCATGAAGTCGATAAGAATCGGAAATAGTATGTGGGTATGCTTAAAGCACAGATTATTTGTATTCGTTGGTTTTAAACAGTGGTTTTCAAATTGTATGTCTTAAAAACAGGAATAGTGATTGTTTGAGTGATTTTAAACTGATAAGGGAATATAAATTTAAGAAAGATATCACATTTTGTAACAAATGCCATCTACAGGAGACCACGACAGTTATTCTCGGCTCAAGTTTGAGAGCCACTGTTAGACAACCGTTTTTAAAGGTGAATTTTTTCTTTTTATTATAATTCATAGAGTTTGACTGCTTATTTTCAATAACCTAATTATTTATATTTTGCTGCATTGTGCATTTATTTGGTTTAATGGAAAAGAGAATTTAAACGTGTTAAGATGCCTTACTGAAAAGAAAAGCAAGTAAAAAAGATATAAATAAAAATTTTTTACTTCTGTCTTTTGATCCATGCTTTTGCTCATATTTATCTTCCGCATTTCAAAAAAAGAAAAAATAATGTAAATGCATGGCACGGAAAAAAATACCATTTCTGATCGTTGTTTTAGTACCATAAAAGTAATGGAAAAAGTCGCCTATGTTGCTTCACAGATTTTTTTTATTTGTAGTTTTATTCTTAGTTTTCTGTTCCGTTAGTTTATTTTTTTGCATGTTTTCTTTTTGTTTTTGTGTGTTGAAGCCTCCTGCCCCTGAAGCGCAACGTTTAGATGACGCAATTGGTTTCTTAAGGGACCATGCCGAGGCCACGGTAAGTCATTTCGATGTTTTATATTAAATTTTTTTTTATTTTTACAAAGTCGCTTTAAACGGCAAATTAACCGAAGGGATTTCCATGGAGGTAACATTTGCGTGGTTAGCCTGATTAGAAAATTTTATGCAGTTAATTCATTTTATGTAATATTAAAGATATACAGGTTGTCCCGAAATTAGGGGGCAATATTTCTAGAGGGTGTTCTATGTCGAAAAAGATTACCTTTTCTTTATATAAACGTGGGTTCAAAAATTCTTCCTAAGGAAGTTATAGCCACTCTGATGATGGTTTTTTCTAAATAACTCCGAAACCAGTTGAGATAAATTTATGAAATTTGGTAACTGGCTTAACTCCGCTACTACAACGAAATTTACAAATTTTCATCACATGCGTTCCAACACTGGGGAGGAGGGAGGTAAAATTTACAATAACTTTTTTATGCTTTAACTATTTTGACTTTTGACTGAAAAGTATGAAATTTCAGTTTTTTTAGTAAAAAAAGGTACTCTTTGGTTCAGATTGGTAAAATGTTCCGTTTTTGTGTAAAAATAATGTTACATTGAGAATCGAAATTGTCAATATTTTTTATCGTCGCAGGTTTTGAATATCAAAAACGCGTTTGGCGTAATTTGCATTGACAGTTCAGTTATTTACTTTTTGTGAATTATTATTAATCGAAAATGCAATATTTTAGGAATATAGAGTTAGATATTCATAATACCCATTTCTGGTCAGACGAAAATCCACGGGCAATACAGCGCACAAATCAAAATAGATTTGCAATAAATGTGTGGACAAGAACTTTAGGGGGACCAGCTACTGGGACCGATTCAGTTTCCAGTTTGTCTGTATGCAGAAGGATACTTAACTCTCTGCAAAATGATGTAAGAGAATTATTGGATGATACACCATTAAACATACGCTTAACGTTACACTATCAACAAGGTGAGGCACCACACTTTACCTATAATGTCATGAATTGGTTAAACGATCATTTTCCTGGCAGGTGGATAGGTAGAGGTGGCCTCATTCCATGGCCGCTTCGATCTCTAAACGTAAATCCTCTAGATTACTTTCTGTGGGGTGGGATGAAGGCTGTAATTTACGCTACAGAAACAAATCCTGTGGGTACACATGTTTGCAAGTGACCCATATTTGAAAGCACAATGTCAAGTGCGCCGCCGGACGAACCAGTGTTCCAAGAAGGGCTGCTGGTGCCGGCCACCAGACGCGTACCCGATATACGACCGATTTCAACCACAAGGCACTCTCCAACCACTCTCCAACGAACATTCACCCTGTTAACACGTCTTTCCATACACAAGTTTTCTGTACACCAGTTTTCAATCAAATTCTTTATTAGTACCGTTGAGAGAGCGTTTATTTCTTGCTGTACAGCAAAAGCAACCCTCAATCCTTTGGAAGAATTACAACAGAGGATTCATTTGGCTGCGAATCAAATCAGACAAAATAATTTTGAAGTTTTGAGGTCTTCGCGGGCAATTCGATGTCAAGTTGAAAAATGTATTCAGCAAAATGGAAATCTTTTTGAGCATTTGCTTTAAAAATTACTATCGAGATAAAGATAAGTTTTATTAATAATAGTGTGATTTTCAATTAGTTTTATTAGTTTATTGTACACTCGACGCAAGATAAAAGTTTCCAATCTGAATCGTATTTTGTTTGAAATATGACGGCTTAACCGCTTGTCTATATGGGGCGTTCCCATTAAACTCGTGTGGCAATATTTTACCGTCACATCTGACATTTTACGAGTTTTGTATGAAAATGCTTTCCTGGTAGACTGGAATTTTTAAAATGGGACTAATCGGCAAACTCTTATAGCAGACCCCGTATTCATTTTTTATCTTGTTTCTATTAAAAGAGTTGCATTTACATTACAATAGAAAAATCGATTCATCCTAGTTAATAAATCTTGCGAAACGTCTACTACCTACTTACGAATAGTTAGGTTGAATGGATTTAAGAAAATTAAAAATTTTAATTTTTTTTATTTTAATTTTGAAAACCCTGCAGCTCGGAAACGGCGGCCTTAAGAACCTATGTGTGTGTAACGAAATTTACTTAATTTTAGCCACAGAATGGGCCTCTGGTTTTTCTGTATGCCATTAATGAACAATGCATAGGTGCCTGCAATGAAATCAGTTGAAGTTTCTTATAAAAGTTGTAAAGCATACAGTTCTACATAAAAATGGCCGCTTGACTTTTTCGTGTACTATTAAAATTAACAGAGTTAGGGAGGCTGGAAGTTAAAGGAAGATTTCAGACATTTAAAAAAACCATAACGAGCAGAAAAATGAATGAATTTTGTAATTTTTTTTCAATCTACTCTAAAAAATGTAACTTTTCTTTTCAGGGAAATAGATATAATTTTTAATTTTTAATAAGTTATATTTCAAATTTTAAATCATTAATTTTAATGATGTAACAAAACTAAAACAATTTTTTTTTCTATACTAGTCGGTTGATTATTTAAAATAATGAAAAGTTGCCTTCGAATTTTTTTTTATGTTTGTTTTTTAGACGGATACAAAGTTATTTACCTTTTTATATTTTGAATTTTATTTAGCTTCTACGACACTGCCAGGTCAAAGATAAAAAATCACGTTCGCTTTGTCGCACTCATGGTATCGAAGTTGTGGACAACTCGTATGCTTATGACAAAGATAGATTATTTCNAACTATTTTGACTTTTGACTGAAAAGTATGAAATTTCAGTTTTTTTAATAAAAAAAGGTACTCTTTGGTTCAGATTGGTAAAATGTTCCGTTTTTGTGTAAAAATAATGTTACATCGATAATCGAAATTGTCAATATTTTTTATCGTCGCAGGTTTTGAATATCAAAAACGCGTTTGGCGTAATTTGCATTGACAGTTCAGTTATATACTTTTTGCGAATTATTATTAATCGAAAATGCAATATTTTAGGAATATAGAGTTAGATATTCATAATATCCATTTCTGGTCAGACAAAAATCCACGGGCAATACAGCGCACAAATCAAAATAGATTTGCAATAAATGTGTGGACAAGAATTTTAGGGGGACCAGCTACTGGGACCGATTCAGTTTCCAGTTTGTCTGTATGCAGAAAGATACTTAACTCTCTGCAAAATGATGTAAGAGAATTATTGAATGATACACCATTAAACGTACGCTTAACGTTACACTATCAACAAGGTGAGGCACCACACTTTACCCATAATGTCATGAATTGTTTAAACGATCATTTTCCTTGCAGGTGGATAGGTAGAGGTGGCCTCATTCCATGGCCGCCTCGATCTCTAAACGTAAATCCTCTAGATTACTTTCTGTGGGGTGGGATGAAGGCCGTAGTTTACGCTACAGAAATAAATCCTCTGGAAGAATTACAACAGAGGATTCATTTGGCTGCGAATCGAATCGGACAAAATAATTTTGAAGTTTTGAGGTCTTCGCGGGCAATTCGACGTCAAGCTGAAAATGTATTCAGCAAAATGGAAATCTTTTTGAGCATTTGTTATAAAAATTACTATTGAGATAGAGATAAGTTTTATTAATAGTGTGGTTTTCAATTAGTTTTATTAGTTTATTGTACACTCGAGGCAAGATAAAGGTTTCCAATCTGAATCGTATTTTGCTGTGAAACGGCGGCCTTAAGAACCTATGTGTGTGTAACGAAATTTACTTAATTTTAGCCAAAGAAGCCTCTGGTTTTTCTGTATGCCATTAATGAACACTGTATAGGTGCCTGCAATGAAATCAGTTGAAGTTTCTTATAAAAGTTGTAAAGCATACAATTCTACATAAAAATGGCCGCTTGACTTTTTCGTGTACTATTAAAATTAACAGAGTTAGGGAGGCTGGAAGTTGAAGGAAGATTTCAGAAATTTAAAAAAAATCATAACGAGCAGAAAAATGAATGAATTTTGTAATTTTTTTTTCAATCTACGCTTAAAAATGCAACTTTTCTTTTCAGGGAAATAGATATAATTTTTAATTTTTAATAAGAAAATTATAACAATTTCAAATTTTTAATCGTTAATTTTAATGATGTAACAAAACTAAAACAATTTTTTTTTATAC